ACAGAAATAATGGTTGAAGTCTGATTCTTTGTTCTTTATTTTCTATCATGATCCACTGTGGTAAATAAATGGTCTGTTTACTGCTGTATACATTTGGTTGGTCAGTTTTCATATTCTTATATAAAATGACTTCTCAGTTTTCTTCTTTTAGCTTTTACCTCAGTGTAGTAGCAAACAACTTTTTTTTCTTTTGAATTTATATATAAACTTTGTCTGTTTAAGTTACAGAAATTCAGTGGTGTTTCTTTTCGTGAGTCTTTTCTCCCTGGCAGTTTGTCCTATACATGTGTCTAGAGAATGGAGTGAGGTTGTTACTGTGTACATTTTCATCTATACATTGTAATCCTTTTAAGTCTGCACCACAGTAGATAGTTGCAAGCTACCACTATCAGGTATTTATGTTTTTTCACTCCATGTTTGATATAAGTCTTAGACAAAGAAAGTATCTCAAAGTATTTATAATCTGGTCAGAATAAAGTGTAACATCATCAAACAATATAGGGTAGTATATATTTGTGTTAAAATGTGTGGTATAGACTAAATGATACTGAAAGTCTTTTACTAACCTTTAGGCATAGGTAAGAGTCACTAAAGGGCTGGAGCTGTAACTCTTTTATATACAGGAAGCCCTGGGCTCTAAGCCTAGCACCACATAAAACTGGGCATGGTGGTACACAATCAGAAGTTCAAAGTCATCTTTGATAACATACTGAGCTCAAGGTCAACCTGGGATACTTGAGAGTCTGTCTCAAAAGAAAAAAAAAAAAAATCACTGAAGACATCATGGAAAAAATAGACTTAAATTGGTTCTTGGAGAGTAGACAGTATAATCAGGAAAAGAAAGAGCAGTAATGTAAAAATGTCTAGTGTGTTTATTGAATAGTGAAGAAATTGGCAGTGAGTCCATACTAGATTGTTTTTTTTAAAAGAAGAATTTCTTAACATATATAATTTAGTGTGGCTTATAAGTATATATAATAGAGGCAGGCATGATGGCACGTGCTTATGATCTCAGTACTTGGGTGGTGGGACAGAAGGATCACAAGTTGGATGCCAGCCTGAGCTATATGGTAAGATCCTGTTCCAACCCCAACCCTCAGATGACTCAGTTGATAAAGTGCCCTCTGTGCAAGCATGAAGTCCTGACCCCAGCACCTATGTAAAAGCCAGATGCAGTGGCACTCTTCTATAACCCTGGTGCTCTTGGGAAGGGGGCAGAGGCAGAGGCAGGGAGATCCCTGGATTAATTGGCTATCCAGTCTAGCCTAATCCATGAGCTTCAAGTTCAGCAAGAGACCATGTCTCAAAAAAATTTAAAAAAAAAGATGGAAGACAATTTGACGAAGGTATCTGATGTCGACTTCTGGCCTCCACACACATAAGCACACAAAGTGTATGTTTTCCTACGTGCACACACACCAATATACAAGTGCATAGTGGAAAAGTCCAAATAATAAAATCAGAAATAGGAGTAACGTAGATTTCCATGGTGGAACATCAGAGCTGTGTTATCAATAAAGTCCTGTATGGCTGATTAGTGAATCTGGTTCCTAGTCAAAGCCAAGAAAAAAAGAGGGATATTTTGTGCTAGGAATCATCTGTAACTAGAAGCTATAATATTTTCATTTGGGTGGAGCATAACTTTTCAAAGATTTGTTGTTTATTTATAGCTTTGCTTTATTTTCTTGACTTTCGAAGATTTTTAATACAGCTCAGCTGAGGGATCCAGGTTCATTTCAGTTCTTCACTGCCAAACCAAGGGGCAGGGACTGCTTCAGCTTCTCTGCCTTCTCCTTGTCTGTGATGACCAGGGTGTAGAGGTACCTGCTCAGCAGACTTTGAACTTCACATTATCCTTGTTTTTCTTAATCTTGTTGGATTTGGCATCCTTTAGCCTGGCTGTGAACAGGAAGTCCTTGATTTCTTCCATTTTCTGAGGCATTGGCGATAGGAGCTCAAGAAGGCTAGCAACTTGAACTGAAAAGAACAGAAAGTGAGCTTTATTTTTGAGACAGGATCTCACTAATCTCAGATCACACTAATCTCAAACATGCAGTGATCCTCCTACCTCTGCCTCCTGAGTTACTAGGATTATGGGCATGAACCACCACACCCAGCCTTTACTTAGAGCTTTATGATATAGGGTAGAGGGAAATGAGATAGAAAATATTGTCAAGCCAGGCGTGGTGGTGTACGCCTTAAGTCCCAGCACTTGGGAGGCAGAGGCAGGCCTGATCTACATAGTGAGTTCCAGTCTAGTGGGGACTACAGGGAGACCCTGTCTCAAAAAAAATGAAAAAAAGGAAAGAAAAAAGAAAATATTGTCAACATCAAATAGACTAGACTTCAAAACCCTATCTCTATGTGAAACTGGAGAATTAAGAGTGCAGCACACTTAAAACAAGTAGCTGACAGCAGCTCATGACCAGATAATCTCTGTGCATTTTTCTGATGGTGCAGGTTAATAATGAGGAGAACATCTAGAATGTTGTAGAGGAATGGAGACCACATTCAGGTCAGGTCAGGAAAAGCACGTGTTATGTTTGAAATGTTTTTTGTGGGATTTAGAGGGGTTTAACCCAAACTTTCTGATGACAATAATTTGATTGAAATTCTTACATTATTCAAATGATAGAGATTATTTTAACCTAGGGAAAAATCGAAGATGATTCTATTAGAGGCAAGTCACCCCTGAAAATGTAGACGACCATGGAACATCTGGTATATTCAGGAATGTAGAAATTTCTGAGAAGTTGGTTGTGAAATAGATGCTGAAAGAACAAGACAAATTAACTTTCTTTTCTTTTCTTCAGTGCTGGTATGCTCTATCACACTACCCGCCCCCAACCCCACTTCTGAACATAAATGAGAGAACACTTACCCAGATTTATTCTTAAGTGTCTATTCAGGTTTTAGCCTATAGACTTTTCTCATTTGTTCTCTGTTTTATGATGGAGGCTGGAACTTTTCCCTTTACTGCATGGGAATGGTTTGTGCCCAGTAATTGTCTCGTAGTCATAGTTTCTTATGTTGGAAAATATCAATCTTTTGGTGATAATAGACATTCTCTTGGGTGACAGATCACATGAGTGAAGATTGACAGGCCAAGAATATCACTGTCAGAGAACAAAGACCCTTTCTGGTCTCTAATACTATTCATTTATACCAAATTTTTTTTGAGAGATTTCCTTACCTTTTAGCCAGATGAAGAGGAGGCATAGCCTGGATTAGATTTTATAATCACGGGATGTGGATGTATCTTACACTTGCCTCATGTGGGAGGCTTTTGGTTAGATCTTCAGCACCACCAAAAAAAAAAGAAAGAAGAAAAACTTTAGTTAGACTGGTCTGAGTCCTGTTCCAGTTCTTACATAGCTCCTTAGTAGTAGAAGTTTCCTCATTTTTTTATGTATGTGAGTGTATTGTTTGCGTGCCTATAAGTGCACCTGTGTTGTGCAGTGCCCATGGAGGTCTGATCTTCTGGACCTTTTGGACAATTGTTAGCCACCATGTGAGTGCTGGGAATTGAACTCAGGTTCTCCACAAGATCAGGCAGCACTCCCAACTGCTGAGCCATCATTTTTTTTTTAAAGATTTATTTTTAATAAAGTGTATTATGGAAGTAGAGCTTATCAGATGCTAAAGGATTTTGCAATGTGATGATAATTAAGAACTCTAGTGACGGGGAAGTAAACTGGAATCTTCCCCTGCTCCTTTTGGTTATCCAGGATAAGAAATCTTTGTTTTCCAAAACTATCACATTCCTATATTGACCTAAGACTTTTGCATTTCTATTACCTTTGTGGGGCCTCTGTTATCTTACTTAATTACCATGTATATGCTATGTACCTTTTGCTTACATTCCTTACTTGAGTATAAAAACCCCCTAAAACTTGAGCGGGGGTGGGGGTGGGGGGTGGGGGGGTATCCTGACTTCTTGATGTCAGTCCCGTTACTGGTGTCAGTCCCGTTACTGTCAAATTAAACTCCCTCTCCTTGCCTGATTTCGACTGTTGATCGCTGATTATTTCTGTAACAAGTGTCTGTTTGAATGTCTGCCACATGTGTGCAGGTGTCCACAGAGATTATAAAAGATGTCGGATCCCCTGGAGTTGGCACTGTAGGCAGTCATGAGCCACCAGGCTGAAATGTGTATAGAGGCTTCTTCTTTTCTGTACTATTGGACCTTACTCTCAGTAGTTAGGCCCACATACTTCTATCAACTCCTTCCCCTCCTCTTCCCCCATACCCCCTTCCTCTTCAGTTCTGGGGATCAAACGGTATTGTGCATTTAGGCAGATATTCTTCCACTGAGCTATGCCCCCAGCTCTGTTGTGTGTCCATGTTGTTGTTGTGCCCCCCCCCCAGTCTTTTTGAGACAGGGTCTCCCTGTAGCCCCAGCTGGCCTGGAACTCACAGAGATTCACCGAGACAAAGGCATGCGCCACCACACCCGTCCCCACCTTTGTTTTTTTATCATTGCAAAAAATATCTTCTAGCCTTGATAATGAGGTTTGATTTTGTTTTCTTTTTTTTTTTTTTTAGTTATTCTTATTTATGTGTATGAGTATAATGCCTGCATATAGGTAGGTGCACCCATGTCATGCAGTGCCCACAGAGGTCAAAAGAGGGCATCAGATCCCCTGGAACTGGAGTTACAGATGGTTGTTAGCTGCCATGTGGGTGCTGGGAAGAACCTCTGCAAAAGCAGCCAGTGCTCTTAACTGCTGAGCCATCTCTCCAGCCCCTGATTTTGTGTTTTCTAACTTAAGCTTAAATAGTCCTGCTTTTTTGGTTTTGTTTTTAATTTTGTGAGTTGGTTGGTTTTTGAGGTAGGGTGTTGCTATGTTGCCCATGCTGGTTTGTACTCTGGAGTGCCTGTGACCCTCTTGCCATGGCCTCCAGAGTTTGGAAACTGTAGGTTCACGTCTCCACACATGAGAATACTGCTAATGCGTATCTCTCCCTCTTTCTATAGTAACCTTTCTTGTTGGTTTCAGGGGTTCAACTAGATGTAGCTTCACAATCTCTGGATCCAGAAGTTTTATTAAAACTTAAATCTGAAATTGAAGAAGAACTGAAATACCTGGACAAAGAAATTTCTGAAGGTCTGTTTATTCTTTCTTTCCTAGGTAATTAGCAGGTTCTGTTTGTAGTTTACTGTTGGTTTACTTTTATTTTCTTTCATATGTGGTGGTGCAAGTGTTTGTGTGGAGATGGAGACCAGAAGAGGGCCTTGGATGTTCTACCATATCAGTGTGTTATGTGGGTGCTGGGATCCTAACTCCTGTCCTCTGGTTCCTATGCTTGATCAGCAAGTACTCTTAACTGCTGAGCCATTTCTCCAGCTCCTAGTTGATTTTTTAATAGAGTGTTCTCAACGTTCCACAACTCTGTAGTATGGAGTTACAAGAGGGAAGCTAGAAGGAACCTTTTTCTTCTCTTCTTTGGGACATTTTTATAGGCTTCCCAGTGATAGCCAGTGGTTTAGATGTAGCCTTCCTGGTATTAAGTAACAGGCTAAATGATCATATGAAGGTCCTTTCCATATGTTGTGATTTGATATGTATTTAGTACTTTAAAGTAATACCATTATTTTTGTTTGTAGGGTCTCATTATATAGTTTTGGCTGGCTTACGACTCAACTCTGTAGACCAGGCTGGCCTTGAACTCACAGAGATCCACCAGCCTCTGCCTCCTGAGTGCTGAGATTAAAAACATGCACCACCATGCCTGGCAAGTAATGACATTATTAAAGGGGGAACAGTAATGCATGCATACATGCTGTCAAATGTTGTCATTACACATATCATTTTACAGCCACAAGTTTCACTGTTTACATTATAATTTTTTTTTTTATGTGTATGAGTGTATTGCCTGCATGTATATGTGTGCACCCATGTTGTGCAGTGCCACAGAGGTCAGAAGAGGGGTTCAGATTCCCCTGGAACTGAAGTTAAGGACGGTTTGTAGCCACCATGTGGGTGCTGGGAATCGAACCCAGGTCCTCTGCAAGAACAGTCAGTGCTCTTAACCGCTGGGCCAACTCTCTAGCCCTACATTGTAATTTTTTAATTGCATTTATTTATGTGGAGGTGTGCATGCATATGGAGGTCAGAGGACAACTTGTAGGAGGAAGTTAGTTCCCTCCTTCTACCAGGTGAGTCTAGGAGATTGAACTCAGGTTGCCTTTATCCACTGACCCATCTTAACAGCTCTACATTGTGTGCCTTTAAAATACATATTCTATTGGGGCTGGGGATGTAACTCAGTTGGTAGAATGCTTGCCTAACATTCGTGAAATCATGGACTAAATTTACTGCACTGCATATATGGTGCATGATTACATACAGCTGTAATCCCAGCATTTAGGAGGTAGAGACAGAAAGAAGTTCAAGGTCATTCTTGGCTACAGACTGAGATTTAGGCCAGCCTAGGATACATGAGACACTGTTGCAAAAAAAAAAAAAAAAATTCTGTTAGCTATGGAATTTCATTCATTCCATGAATATTTGTCTTGAGTTATTGAGGGTTTAGGATTTTTTAAAAATATTTTTAAAAATTTATTATTTTACGTGTATGCGTGTATTGCCTGTATGTAGGTAAGTGCACCCGTGTTGTGCAGTGCCCAAGGAGGACAGAAGAGGCTGTTGGATCCCCTGGAACTGGAGTTACAGACATTTGTTAGCTGCTATGTGGGTGCTGGGATTTGAACCTGGGTCTTCTACAAGAACAGCCAGTGTTCCTAACCGCAGAGCCATCTCTCCAGCCCGGTTTAGAGTATTCCTTGTTTTGCCTTTTGTAAGCAACAGTGTATTGAATATCTTTCCTATTGATTTTCAGCTTTATTGAGGTATATTTATATACCCTTAATTTATATATTTTAAAAGGTACAGTTCAGTGGTTATTAGTGTACCTCTAGAATTGTGTGCAACCATCAACACATTGAACTCTTGCCACATTCCTTAAAGAAACCCTGTCTGCATCGATGGCCCTTTCCATTCACACATCACTAGTCCCTGTCCCTTACTCCACCAGTGGCAAACACTGATCTGCTTTCTTTTTCTGTGGTTTTGCCTATTTAGACAACAAAAATGGACTCTTACGCTCCATGGACTCTTAGGACTGACTTTGATTGGTATCTGTATATGGGGGTTGCGGGGAGGTGGGGTGGGAGGCCAGAGGACAATATTGGATGTTGTTCTTCAGGTGCTGGCCTCTTTTTTTTTTAAGAGACAGAATCTTTCTGGGCTGGAGCTTACTAAGTAGGCTAGGCTGCTAGTGAACCCCTGGAATCTACCTGCCTTTGTCTCCCAGCACTGGGATTTCAAGTGTGTGCTACCACATTCAGCTTTTTTAAAGATTTTTATTTTGCCAGGCGTGGTGGTACACACCTTTAATCCCAGCACTTGGGAGGCAGAGGCAGGTGGATCTTTGTGAGTTCAAGGCCAGCCTGGTGTACCAAGGGCATCCTGGTCCAAATACTTATTTCCAGGTCAGCTGGGACTATAGGGAGACCCTGTCTCAAAAAGACCTAAATAAATAAATAATAAATAAAAATGTTTTTATAATTTTTTTAAAATGTATGTGTGTATTGCCTGTATATATGTGAGTGCACCCACGTCATGCAGTGCCACAGAGGTCAGAAGAGGGCTTCAGATTCCCATGGAACTGGAGTTAAGGAAGGTTTGTAGCCACCATGTGGGTGCTGGAAATCGAACCCAGGTCCTCTGCAAGAGCACTCAGTGCTCTTAACCACTGAGCCATCTCTCCAGCCCTCATGCTCAGTTGTTTTAATGTGGATTCTGGGGATTGAACTTGGGTCTTGATGGGTGCATGGCAAGTACTTTATAGACCGAGTCATCTTCCCAGCCCTGGCTGGCTTCCTTTATGTAGCCTAATGTTTTCGAGAATCTTCCATGCTGCAAAAGGTGTTAGTACTTTTTTCTTGCAATGCTGTGGATTGAACCCAGGACCTCACATGTGTTAGGCATGTGACCTGCCACTGAGCTGTAAACAGCCCTCTTGTTACTCTGTGTGTGTGTGTGTGTGTGTGTGTGTGTGTGTGTGTGTGTGTGTGTGTGTGTTGAGAAAGAGTTGCAGGGTTTCCCAGGCTGGCCTTGAACTAACTCTGTAGCCCTCAAATTTATGATCCTCTTCCTCAGCCTCCCAAGTCCCTGGGATTATAGGCCTATATTACCAGGCCTGGCAGTACTCCATTACTTTGTATGGTTGAATAAGATTCCATTGTGTAGGTACCACATTTTATTAAAGCACATTTACTTCTTTCTATTCTTTGGCTATTATATAATGTTGCTATGAATATTCTTATGGAAATTTTTGAATGAACATATATTACCTTATATGTCTGTGTATATTTATGTTTGTGGTGCTAGTGGGAACCCAGGTCCTCATACATGCTACACAAATGCTCTGCTATATAACTATATCCTCTGACCTGCTTTTTTTTTTCTTCATTTTTTTATATCTTTTTTGAGACAGGGCCTCCCTGTAGCCCCAGCTGTCCTGGAACTCACTATGTAGACAAGGCCAGTCTTGAACTCAAAGAGATCTGCCTGCCTCTGCCTCCCGAGTGCTGGGATTAAAGGTGTGCACCACCACGCTGGGCAAATTTTTGTTTTTGTTTAGAGGAAAAAGTCTCCTTATGTAACTCAGGCTGGCCTGGAGCTCATGCCCTTCCGGCTGGCTTTGAGCACTCAGTATTCTTCCCTCTGCCTCCAAAGTGCTGGAATTGCAGGCATATGTCATCATGCCTAGCTTTCCTGCCTAATAACTTAAAACAAAAAAAAAATTTTAATATTTTTATTTATTATTTTTATTTTATATATATGAATGTATTGCCTGCATGTATGTATGTGAGTACACCCGTGCTGTGCAATGCCATGGAGGTCAGAAGAAGGCTTATGGTTTCCCCTGGAACTGGACTTAAGGACAGTTGGTAGCTGCCATGTGGGTGCTGGAAATCGAACCTGGATCCTCTGCAAGAGCAGCCAGTGCTCTTAACTGCTGAGCCATCTCTCCAGCCCCTTAAAACAAATTTTTATTACATTTATTTATTTTGTGTGTGTATGTATGTGTGCACATGTGTGCCATGATGTGCATGCCATAGCAGGCATGTATAACAGAGGACAACCTGTGAGAGTTAGTTCCCTCTTTCTTTGTGGATGAGATCTGGAGCTCAAACTCAGCTTGTCAGGCATGGTGGTAGGTGCCCTAACCTGCTGGGCTCTCTCACCAGCCCACTTGCATAGTAACTTTAATTTTTTTTTTAAATGGGGCTGGAGAGATGGTTCAACAGTTAAGAATGTGTACTGCTCTTGCATAGGACTTGGGTTCAGTTCCCAGCACCCACATTGGGTAGCTCACAACTGCTTATAATTCTAGTTCCATGGGATCCAGTGCCCTCTTCTGGTGTCTGCAGGCACAACATGTGGTGCATGTATAAACAGGCAGGCACACACACACAAAATCAAAGTTGTAAAAATGTTTTGGTAGCTTGTATTAATTTTACATAGTAATAGATTTTTATAATATTTTTGTAATGGTCTATAATGTATTTTGATCACTCTCTATTACCCTCTCTGTCTTCCTCCCACTCTGGCCAATTTTCTTCCTTTTCCCAGTTAGTCTCCCTTTTATTTAATGTCGTGACTCAGTGAGTTTCACTAGGGCTACTCACAGAAGTACATGTTAGAGATTATTTACAGGAACATGGGTATTCTACTAGTTGTTATACCAATAAAGAAAATCTTAACTCCCCATCTCCTGGCAACCATTGACTACCTACAAATACTCAGAGAGGGCTGGGCCTTATGAGCCTCTCTTTCCTCCATGATGGGCCCCAATCTTGTGAAAGTCACAAGCAGGTAATCACAGCTTCTGTGAGTTCAAGAATGCCACAGCTGTGTCATACCTGGGAGATGGGATTGTGTAATACTCCACTTTGCCCTCTGGCTTGTACACTGTTTCCATACTTTGTTCCCAGATGTTCCCTGTGCCTTGGAAGGGGTGGTATAGATGTCCCATTTAAGGCTGATCATTCAGCAGTCACTTTTTAGCACTTTAACCATTTGTGAGTTTAAAAATTTTTTTTTAATTTAAAATAAGAAAAAAGAAAGCTGGGTCTGGTAGCGCATGCCTTTAGTCCCAGCACTCAGGAGGCAGAGGCAGACAGATCTCTGTGAGTTCAAGGCCAGCCTGGTCTACATAGCAAGTTCCAGGCCAGCTGGGGCTACTGGGAGACCCTGTCTCAAAAAGACCAAAAAAAAAAGAGGCTGGGTGTGGTGGCGCATGCTTGTAGTTCCAGCACTAGGGAGACAGAGGCATGCAGATTACTGTGAGTTTAAGGCCAGCCTGGTCTACATAGTGAGTTCCAGGACAGCTGGAGCTACAGGGAGATCCTATTTCAAAAACACCAAAAAAAAAAAAAAAAAAAAAAAAGGCTGTGAGAGGTGGCTCAGTGGTTAAGAGCACTGACTGTTCTTGCAGAGGACCCAGCTTCGATTCCCACCACCTACATGGCCGCTATGAACCATCCTTAACTACAGTTCCAGGGGAATCAGAAGCCCTCTTCTGACCTCAGAGGCATTGCATGACATGGGTACACTCACATACATGTAGGCAATACACTCATACACATAAAATAAAAATAATAAAATATAAAAAAACACCATAAAAAAGAAAGAAAAATAAGACAAATCTTGGCAGTTAACCACTATCCACTGCAAAAGAAGCCACTGACTGACACAGACAGCAGCAGTGTTCCTTTTCGTATGTGGTGGTGTCTGCCTGTAATCCCAGAGACTGAGGCAGGAGAATCATGAGTTCAGTGTCAGCGTGGTCTACTATATAGGGAGAACTCCATGTCAGAAACCAGACAGTAAAACCTTAAAATTTAGGACCTATCAATTTTTCTGTTCTGTATTGGTGTGTATAATGATTTTCTGACCCTTTAAAGTAGCTTGTAACTTTTGCTCCTAATAATCTTATGGATTCTCATAAGATACCGCCTTTTTTTCTTTCTCTTTTCCCTTTTTTGGGGGAGGGGACAAGGTCTCATTGTAGTGTATGCTGGCTGTATACTCATTATATGACCAAGGCTGGTCTTGAACTCCCAGTCTTCCTTCCTCTACCTCCCTAGTCTCCCTAGTATTAAGATTACAGGCTTTTGCTACCATACCCAGCTTTCTTTGATTTTTTCTTTTCTTCCTTCCTTCCTTCCTTCCTTCCTTCCTTCCTTCCTTCCTTCCTTCCTCCCTCCCTCCCTCCCTCCTCTCTCTCTCTTTCTTTCTTTCTTTCTTTCTTTCTTTCTTTCTTTCTTTCTTTGTTTTTGAGACAGGGTCTCACTGTGTGGCCCTTGACTGGCCTAGAGTTCACTGTCCTCAAACCTCAGAGAGATCTGCCTGCCTCCGCCTCTCTCCTGCTGGGATTAAAAGAGTCACCACTAGCCAGGCGTGGTTGTGCACGCCTTTAATCCCAGCACTTGGGAGGCAGTGAGTTCAAGGCCAGCCTGGTCTACTTAGTGAGTTCCAGGACAGCTGGGGCTACAGGGAGACCCTGTCTCAAAAAGACCCCCCAAAAATAGTCACTATGCCCAGCTTGTTTTATTATTATTTTTTACACAGAGTCTTGCTCTGTTGCAACTATCCTTAAACTCACTATGTGGTCCAGGCATGCTTCCTACTTGAGATCCTGCTTTCTCAGTCTCTTGAGCACCAGGGTTCTGGGTATATACCACTACCTGGCTCATAGCATAATGAATATTATTTATTAATAAATTAAATAGTATTGTTTATTAATTGTAATTGCATAGCACTGTTTATTAATTTTGGTTTTTCTTTTTCCCTCTCTTCAGCCTTCACCAGCACAGGCTTTGACCGTCACACCTCACCAGTGTTCAGCCCTGCTAACCCTGAAAGCTCAATAGAAGACTGCTTGGCCCAGCTTGGAGAAAGAGTGTCACAGGAACTGAAAGAGCCTTTACATAAAGCCTTGCAAATGCTCCTCAGCCAGTGAGTTGTAATTGCCCAGTGGAATGTGCTCCTCTGAGCAGTCCCTAGGTGTCTGCAGTGCTAGGTTGGTTACGGCTTTGCTTTAGGCACAGTTCTTCACTCTTCATTCTTTTGTTTTGCTAAAGTGTTTAATCTGTGTTTTGAATGCCAACTTTGCCTTAAAGCAGTGATTTAAATGTTCCAACAAGGATTTCATGGCTTGTACTTATTCATACTTTCTGTGTTATAAACACAAGCTGTCGCCCTGTCCTGACCACAGTTTACTACTATTCTTTCTAGTGGCCAACAGAAACACAGTGGCTGCAGATCTGTGGGCTGTAATGTGTGATTGGCATTATCTTTGTACTTGAGATATCTATATTTAACATTTTATCTAGATCACAGATGTTATGTGTTGAGGTTCACTGTGGAATACTTCTGCATGCTTAGAATGAATTCCTTCCCAGCTGTGGTTCTTACCATATGAAAGCTAAAGTCAAAGTGAAGCTAGTGAAAGTGAAGTAAATTAAAGTAGAACCAGTTCACTTATGAATCTGGGAAGTCAGTTTCTCCTAATTCTTTGCTGAGAATCATTAAGAATCATGAAGATGGGCCATTTAGGAAGTTTATTCCTCACCAAGAGGGCTAAAATTCAGATGCCAAATTACTGTTGTCATAAGGAAATACCTTACTTTCATGTCAAAGTTTATAGTTTACCATTTGTTACAAAGAAATAATTTGAGTGTTAGGAGGATGCAGTTTATTTCTGCATGCCCTGGCAAATAAGCAAATGTAAAATTTCTAATTATAGTTAGTGAAATAAACTCATAGTTGGATTTTCTTTTTTTTTGAGACATGGTCTCCCTGTAGCTAACCTGGAATTTGACCAGGCTGGCCTTGATCTCACAGAGATAACTTGTAAGCTCTTTTACTAATACCTTGGAAATAAATTCTTGTATAGATTGAAGGCAGTATCTTAAGGTGGAAATGTCACCTAGTCCAAATGGTTTGTTAAAGTGAGAAATGAATCCAAACTCCATATGAAGCACTAGTGATTTCTGGAGGTGTCCTTCCTTCCCATATGGAACACTAGTGATTTCAGGAGGTACTTTTCCTTCTCATGTGTAACACTAGTGATTTCTGGAGGTGCCCTTCCTTCCCATATGGAACACTAGTGATTTCTGGAGGTGCTCTTCCTTCTCATGTGTAACACTAATGATTTCTGGAGGTGCCCTTCCTTCCCATATGGAATACTAGCGATTTCTGGAGGTGCCCTTCCTTCCCATATGGAACACTAGTGATTTCTGGAGGTGCTCTTCCTTCTCATGTGTAACACTAATGATTTCTGGAGGTGCCGGAGGTGCCCTTCCTTCCCATATGGAACACTAGTGATTTCTGGAGGTGCCCTTCCTTCCCATATGGAACACTAGTGATTTCAGGAGGTGCCCTTCCTTCCCATATGGAACACTAGTGATTTCTGGAGGTGCCCTTCCTTCCCATATGGAACACTAGTGATTTCTGGAGGTGCTCTTCCTTCCGTTCTCTGCTGTATTTGACCTCTAAGTAGGGCTGGTTGTTCAGCTACTTGCTTTTCCTTGTATTAGAATCTGCTACATCTTTTATGTACAGGTATGTGTACATAAGATGTTTTAAATCCTTTCATGCTGAGGGATCATAAAATACTTAACCTGATAGCCAAACTACCTGTGAGGACTACAGTGACCCACAGCAGCAGCAAACAGTTCAGGAAAGGAAGTAAAAGGACTGATAGATGCATAAAGCTTCAGGGAGATCTAGGTAGATAGACGATGGAGTATCTGGTGAAATTCAAGGTTTACAGGAATCTAGTGTATAGCTCAAGACTTTAAAAAAAAATTAGCTTTAATGGGAATGTGCTTTTAGCAAGGTAGTACTGTAGGTATCTTCCCTTATAAAGATCATCCAGGTGTCTGTCCCATCATCACCTTTCCAGCACCACTGAAGTAATGAGTTGTATAGATGTTGACTTGTACAATAGAATCATCTGTGTCATTAGAGCTGCTTCTGACATATTAGCCAGCACTGTTCAGTGGAGGTAGTGTAAGTCACACTTGTGTAATTTAAAAATATTGGGCAGCCACTGAAAACATGAGATTAATTAACATTTTTTATTATATTTTAAGCCAGTATATTAAAACTATCTTTAAAAATCACAAAAATTATTAGTGGATATTTCACATTCTCTTTTTCTTACTGACTCTTTGAAATCTAGCATGTGTATTAATATTTTAGGCACAACTTGGTCACATTTCAAAATCTTTTTAGCCATGTGGCATCTAGACATTTTTGTGTGCATACGTCAAAATCCTAGCTTAAAATTGAAGTAGTGTGGCCTTTGGAGCCAGATCCAGTTGGGTGCAAATTCTGACCTTACTACTTATCAGTCATATAGTTTAGGAATAATCTCAGCTTTTCTGAACTTTGGCTTCCTAATGTGTAATGTAAAATGTGATATACTGTCAAATATAAATAATATAAAAACACAAAACCTAATATACTAAGCTACTAGTAAGTGGTAGCTATTTCAAACTTAAGTATTCATAAGCTAACAAAATCAGACTTGAGAGTAGTCAGAACACAAAAATGCTTCTGGGATGGGATTTTTAAAACCTATAAAAGGATTCCTCTCAGTTTTTACATATCTGTTAATACTTTACCCCAAATAGGGAAGGGTAATTTTCTAAGATAGTTGTCTTCGTGTTACTTGGTACCATTTTTTTTGTTTTGTTTTAAATTTACACAAGAAACAATGCTTAAAATTTAGTGCTGAAAGTTCTTTAACACGTGTGGTAGTATTTTTTAAAAATGACTTGGGGTCTGGGTATGACTAGGACTATAATGCAAACAATAAGACTAATCTTCCTGTACTCCAAGACTCTTTTTAAAGGTAGGATCTTCACTGGGTGTGGTGGTACATGCCTTTAGTCCCAACACTCTTGAGGCAGAGGCAGGCACATCTCTGTGAGTTAGTTTGAGGCCAGCCTGGTCTACATAGTGAGTTCTAGGCCACCTGGGACTATAGGGAGACCTTGTCTCAAAAAGACCAAAAAATAAAAAGATAAAAAGATGGGGTCTTGCTATAGATCCCTGATTGGTCTGCTGTTCACTATGTAGGGCAGGCTAGCTTACAGTTTAGTTTCTCCAGTGCTGAGACTACAGACAGGTGTTTGCCCTCATACCTGGCTCCTTCTAGTATTTTGTGATTAGTATTTTTCTTTAGACTCCAAGTAAAAGAATAGGGAACCACTTGTTACCCTTGTTTATTCCAATTTTTCATAGCCCCAGTTTGAAGAGTCTTTTGATGACATACCTATTCGTTCTTAAATAGATCAGATTTTTGTTTGTTTGTTTGTTTGTTTGTTTGTAGACAGGGTCTCCTTGTAGCCCCAGCTGGCCTAGAACTCACTGTATAGATGAGGCTGGCCTCCATCTCACAGGATCCTCCTGCTTCTGCCTCTCAAGTAGTTGGATTAAAGGTATGCACCACCAGACCTAGCAATAGTTTAGATTTTTGCCTTTAAAAAAAGTTGAGGTACTGGGCATGATGGCACATGCTTTTAATCCCAGCACCTGGGAGGCAGAGGCAGGTGGGTCTCTGTGATATACATGGTGAGTTCCAGGCCAGCTGGGGCTAGAAGGGAGACCCTAACTCAAAAAGACCAAAATAAAAAAAAAGAAAAAAGTTAAGATTGGCCAGGTGTGGTGGCGCACGCCTTTAGTCCCAGCACTTGGGAGGTAGAGGCAGGTGGATCGTCGTGAGTTTGAGGCCAGCCTGGTCTACACAGTGAGTTCCAGGACAGCCGGGGCTACAGGGAGACCCTGTCTCAAAAAGACCAAAAAAAAAAAACCAACGAAAAAAGTTAAGATTGTGTTATCATTTTACTGAGATATTTTTTGTTACTGTTTGCTTCTATATTAGTAATGTGATAAATTCTAAGTAATGACAAAATTATTAGACTACACATTTATCTTGCTATGCTGTGGGCTACTTTCCCAACCATGATCTCAACTTATATAGAATGTTTGGAAAAGATGCATACCAAATATTAAAGGCTACATCTTGAATAAAACTATGTTGAACAATCAATCCTAGTCACTTTAGCAAAAAGTTGAGCAACACAGTAGTGTCTGTATATTTATTATTTATTCATTTGGAAATTTGGCCTTTTTTGTGACAAAGACTTTTAAAAAAATTTCTACAGGCCAGTGACATATCAGACATACCGTGAATGTACAGTGGAGATCGCAGTTCATGCCAGCGGATGGAATAAGGTATTAACCAAATTATCTTTACTATTGTAAAACTTTAGTTCTAATAATAAAGTATAGAAAGAATTACCAGCATCACACAGCATGAAACTTACAGCTCATTAGTACATAATTCCAACTGTGTTAAGTAGATATTTCTGGTTTGTTTGTTGTTGTTGTTTGGTTTGAGACAAGGTCTCACTGTGTAGCCCTGTGAGCTGGCCTGAATCTTACAGAGATCTGCCTGCCTCTGCTTCACAAGTGCTGGTATTAAACTTGTATTACAATGCCTGGCAGGTTTAATTGTTTTTGAAAAATTAATGCTTCAAGGTTCAAAAGTACGTGCCTGTAGTACGCTGTCCTTTTCTGTGCTTCCTGGATTTCTCATCATTTCTCCATTTCTCTGTACTAGACATGACATTTATTTCCAGATAGTTATTTGTTAACATGTTAGTATGTCTTGTAGGATGAGGAGTTCAGTTGAGAGATAACCTCTTCTTGTTCTTTTAAATACATTGATGTTTTATGGTTTATGAAGTGTATCTCATGTCACATCTCGTTTGAACATCCAGACTTTTCTTTGAAGAATACACAATAGATTTTATTACCTTATTTTGGAGGGAAAAGGTCAGGGCAGCATATCATACTGACCTGGGATGGAGCCCAGGGCTTTGCACAGGCTAGACAAGCACTCTACTGATGAACTATCAAGAAAGAGTTAAAATAACTTATATAAGATGTCTTGACTGTTAACCAAACCTAAGATCTGCTGGTTTCAGCCTTGATGCCTTTCCATCATCATATGATTATCCGTTATTTGCAGAGTGTGGAGATGGCTGTGAGGAAGTATGGTCCTAAGATGAGAAAACTTAGGATCATTATTTTCACAAATAGCCACCTCTGTTCACAGTTGTATGGATAATCATCGCTATATAATCATCAGTATCAATAGTGGGTTGGTATCAGAACCTTGTGAATATTAAAATTTGTAGATGCTCAGGTCCCACATATAAAATTGATAGAATATTTGCATAAAGTGTACATACATGTCTTGTGTACTTTAAATCTTCAGTAAATAACTGTAATATCTCATAGAACATAACTGTGATGTATAGAGTTTGTTTTTGTTTCTTTGGTCTCTTTTGAGACATGGTCTCCCTGTAGCCCCAGCTGGCCTGGAACTCACTATGTAGACCAGACTAGCCTCAAACTTACAAAGATCTGCCTGCTTCAGCCTTCTGAGCGCTGAGACTAAAGGCATGTACCACCATGCCTGGCCCTTTTTTAAAAAATTTTTATTTATTTATTTTTTGGTCTTTTTGAGACGGGGTCTCCCTGTATCCACAGCTGGCCTGGATTCGCTGTGGAGACCAGGCTAGCCTCGAACTCACAGAGATCTGCGTGCCTCTGCCTCCCAAATGCTGGGACTAAAGGCACGTGCCACTATGTCCGGCCTGGCCCTTTTTAAAAAAATTTATTTTTAATTATATGTGTGTGTGTGTGTTTTAAGTATATGCATGTGTGTGCAGGTGTCCATGGAGGTCAGAGGTACTGGATTTCCCAGGAGGTGGAGTTATAGGCAGTTGTGAGTTTCCTGGTGTGGGTGCTGGGGACCATTGGGTCGTCTGGAAGATCAACAAGTGCTCTTAACCAGTGAACTATCTCTCCAGCCCCATTTTCTGCCCCATTCTTTGCCAGGAAATTAAATAAGTATACAAATAAAGGTAAGCCAGTAGAAGTAATCTTTTTTGGTGCTTAAAAGTTCCTAAGCTTTCCATTGCAAAAACTTTTGAAGAAAAAAATAATTCATATGCAATGTCGAGATTACTATTGTTCAGTAAGGAAATTACCTAGAAAAAGAATCAAAAGATAGGGTATTTGCTTAGTTTTTATTTTATTTTTTCAGGAGGGTCTCATATAGCCCAGGCTGGCTTGTATGTTACTATGTGTCTTATGTGTCTGAGGATGACCTTGAACTATTGCTCTTCCTACCTCTACCTTCCTAGTAGTAAGTCTATTGCTGTGTACCACAATGGTTGATGTGGTACTAGGGATCAAACACAGGACTTTGTGATAGAAGGCAAACACTCTACTAGCTGAACATTCCTTGCCCTTGCTTAATTTTTAGACCTAGGCGTGTGACTAGTGATACTTTCTTGGAATGGATAAGCTCTGTATTCTTTTTTTTTTTTTGGTCTTTTTGAGACAGGGTCTCCCTGTACCCCCAGCTGTCCTGGAATGCACTATGTAGACCAGGCTGGTCTTGAACTCACAGAGATCCGCCTGCCTCTGTCTCCCAAGTGCTGGGACTACAGGTGTGCGCCACCATGCCCAGCGCTCCGTATTCATTTTAACATAATATATACATACATATATTTACATGAAAAGGAAAGGTACTAAAAGTTATAATCAGGTTTTGACTATATAAAATACTTGTAGATAACAAAATAGCAAAAATGCCCGGTTTATAGAGATGAAAGTTTGGGGTTTTTTGTTTTTTTTTTTTTACATTTTTTTTATTGGGCTTTTGTAATTTCATACAACAGTTTTTAATCAAATTTAGATCCCCTCCGCTATCCATGCCTCCCCCATACCCCCACCGAACCTCATGTATGTCACCATACATGTTAAGTTCTATTCATTCAAGCATTTGTGCCCAAATGTCCTTCAGTGTAAATGCGTCCACTGGAGTCCAGTCAGCCCATCTAGTGATCATATGTAAGTCATATTCTCCCTCACCCAGCAGCAGTCAGTCTTGAATAGTTCTCAGTCTAGTGCTGGCCCACCACCTATTATTTCTTTCCTCCCCTTTGGGCCCTAGCTTAATTGAGTTGATGTGGGTCCTGTGCTTGTTGCCACCATTTCCACAAGTTCACATGTGCAAGCTTCCAGTAGCAAGATTTTTTTTTTTGGGGGGGGGTCTTTTTGAGACAGGGTCTCTCTGTAGCCCCAGCTGTCCTGGAACTCACTACGTAGACCAGGCTGGCCTCGAACTCACAAAGATCAGCCTGCCTATGCCTCCCAAGTGCTAGGATTAAAGGTGTGCACCACTATGCCTGGCAAGAGTTTTTTTTTTTTTTTTTTTTTTTTTTTAAGACATGTAGGTTACATGTAGCCCAGGGTTGCCTTAAACTTACTGGGTAGCTGAGAATGATCTTGAACTCCTGATCTTCTGATCTCTGCCTCCTGAGTGCTGGAATTAATAGGATTGCACTACCACACCTAATTTGATGTGTTCCTATGGACTGAACCCAGGTTTTTGCATGCTAAGGAAGATTCTATCAACTGAGCTATATAGAAGTAAGCTCTTAGAAATAATTCTTGAAGCTTGTTATGTAGGAAAGCAAGTTTAAGTATGTAAAGATAATCCAAACTGCTTGAAAGCTACTGTTCCTAAACTGGGCATGCCAGTGCCTATCCATGATCTCAGCACTTGGGAGGTAGAGGCAGAAGGATCAGAAGTTCAGGATCATCCTTGGCTACTAAGTTACAGGCCAGCTTGTGCTACATGAGACTCTCTCTAAATAAATAAATATTAAATAAATGAAATACAGATAAATGCTAGTGGATCTGAAGGCTCATCAAGAAAGGTCTATTAGATAAGTAAGCCTGATATAGTCATTTAATAATTATATGAGCTGGGTGTGGGGGTGCATATGTAATCCCAGTACTTGGGAGGTGGAAGTAGGAGAATCAATAGTTCAAAGCCAGCCTTGGCTACTTGAGGTCTTCTCTCAAATAAAACAAAACAGGGCTATTGAGATGGCTAGGTGGGTTAAGGTGCTTCCCACTAAGTCTGAAGACCTGAATTTGATCCCTTGGACCCACATAGTGGAAGAAAATTATATGATGAATGAAAGGGGAGGAAATAAATAATCTTCAGATGATTCATCATGTGTCAACAAGAATATGAGCCAGGTGTGGTGGCATGCACCTTAAATCCCAGGGCTTGGGAGGCAGAGGCAGAGGCAGGAAGATCTCTGTGAGGTTGAAGCCAGGCTGATCTACCTAGTGAGTTCAGGCTAGTTAGGGCTACAGGGAGACCCTGTCTCAAAAAAACCAATCCTGCCCCCCCCAAGAAAAAAAAAGAATATTATCAATCAAATAGAAAAGGCTAGTCCCATAAAATGAAGTTTCTGTATTCAGGTTTTTGTCATTCAAGATGTAATTAAAATGGAAAGAAAACCCCAAATAATGAAAGCAATGAAGCAGTGCTAGATGAAGAACAGATAGAAACATTAATGTTAGACAGAAACCATAGTGATTAAGAGGGAATATAAAGCCAGGTGTGGTAATGCATACCCTTAGTCCTAGCACTTGGGGAGGCAGAGGCCGGTGGATCTCAGTGAGTTCCAGGCCAGCCTGGTCTTCACAGTGAGTTCCGGACCAGCTGGGGCTACAGGGAGACCCTGTCTCAAAAAGACCAAGAAAAAAAGAGGGAATATAATCGAGAATTAAAAGTGATGGGGGAGAGGAGGATTTCAGGTAATTGGCAGGAATTAAAAAGATTTTTCATATTATTGTTAACTTATTATATGTAAGTTGAAATGTCTACTTTTTGATACAGATGAAAGAGGTAATTTGGAATAGGTGGTTATTTTATGTAGTGGCACATAAAATAAAATTTTTGCGATTCATTTACCCCAAAGATTATTTAATAGAGCTTAAAACATGAGTAGTGGAGCTGGAGAGATGGGTCAGCGGTTAAGAGCACTGACTGCTCTTGCAGAGGACCCGGGTTCCATTCCCAGCATGGCAGCTACAAACCATCCTTAACTCCAGTTCCAGGGGAATCCGAAGTCCTCTTCTGACCTCTGCAGCATTGCATGGCATGGGTGCACTCACATACATGCAGGTAGCACACTCACACACATAAAATAAATATTTTTTTAAAAAAAACAAAAAACATGAGTATCTTCAGAACCTTACATATATCAGACTGCTTTGCAGTACAGAACACCCCATGCCTTTGAAGTTGATGTGGTAGGAATTTGCGAGACTGATTCTCAAGCCATCTTCTTTACCTGCTTCTGTCCAAGCCACAGTGTAGGGGCTAGGTAAGTAATAACTGTTTTATACAGTTTGATACATTTTCCTGTTATAGTAGAGGTCAGTCTTATTCTGTATAACCCTGTACTTCCTGTGCTGGATGGCTTTAGTGTCAACTTGACACACCTGGGTTGAGGGAGCCTCAATTGGGGAATTGCCTCTATTGGACTGGCCTGTGGCCATGTCTGAAGGGCATCTTCTTGATGCGTGATGTGGGAGGGCCCAGCCCACTGTGGGTGGTGCCATCCCTGGGCAGGTGGGTTGTGTTGCATAAGAAAGCAGGCTGAGCAGGGGCCAAGGGAGCAAGCCAGTAAGCAGAGTTCCTCCATGGCCTATGCTCTAGCTCCTGCCTCCGGGTTCCTGGCCTGAGTTCCTACCTTGGGCTCCCTGATGAACTGCGACCTGGGAGTTGTGAGCTGAATAAACCCTTTCCTCCCCAAGTTGGCATTGGTCAGAGTGTTTTGTCACAGCAATGAAGAAACAAACTAGGACACTCCCCCACTACTGCTAAGAAAAGATTTTCAGTATATTTTGAACTAGAATTCTTTTAGAGTGTCAAAAAGTGAAGATATGTGCTTTCTTCTTCCATTCTGACTTTAAAGTAAATTCCCTCTGGGTTCTTCTACTGAAAGCCAAAGAGAATTAGTATTGAGCATGAACTCATTTTAAAAATGTGTTTTCTTTTGAGGAAATATTTTTGTCATTGTTTCCTTGATAATCCAGTAGCAAGGAACAGAATGTGCATTCCTTCCCAGGATACACAGAGACGTCTTAATGTTTCAGATAAGAGACTGACATACTTAACTTCCCTGTCTCTTTTCTTCCTCCTCTTTTATTTTTTATTTTCCTTTTATTTATTGTGATGTGAGAGAGTTAACTAGGGCCTCAAGTGCTCTGCATGGAGGTGTCCCAGCCCTTTCCTTTTTGTCTGTATGCAGTTTTGTTTTGAAAGCCAGGCAATAGACCCTAGTTTCTGTAGTAAATTATGATGAGTTTAAATACTGAGTCACAGGATTATTAGGCATAGATTATAATACCTCCTTTTGTAAGACACCTTATAATTTCAAAGTTAGTGTTTTGTCAGGTACTATTGTGCATGTCCATAATCTCAGCTCTTGGAGGCCATGGCAAGAGGATTGCTCCAAGTTTGAAGCCAACCTGATCTACAGCATGAGACCCTGTCTCAAAAATAACAATGAAAAGCTCTTTTTTTTTCCCAAATAGATAATAAAAGCATTTGGTACAATTGTACAAAGTACAGAAAGATTGGATCAAAAGATAAAAATTTTTCCTTACAGTCTGGGGAGATAGTTGGTAAAGTGCTTCCTTGTAAGCACAAGGACCTGAATTTGATTTCCAGAACTCATGCTTTAAAAAAAGAAATGTAAGGGCTGGAGAGATGGCTCGGGGGTTAAGAACACTGGTTGTTCTTGCAGAAGACCCAGGTTCGATTCCCAGCACCCAAGTGGTAGCTAACAGCTGTCTGTAACTCCAGTTCCAGGGGATCCAACAATCTCTTCTGACCTCCATGGGCATTGCACAACACGGGTGCACTTACCTACATGCAGGCAATACACGCATACACATAAAATAAAAAGAATAAATAAAATATTTTTAAAAAGAAATTTAGACTGGATGTGGTGGTACACGCCTTTAATCCCAGCACTTGGGAGGCAGAGGCAGGTGGATCTCTGTGAGTTCAGGGCCAGCTGGGGCTACAGGGAGACCCTGTCTCAAAAAAGACAAGAAAAAAAGAAATTTCCCCTCTTGTTATCAGTTACCTAGTTCCCATTAAGTGATCACTATTAATCAGTTTCCTGCATATTTCTTTCCAGAAATACTGCAAGGTTATGCAAACGTGTATGAGTAACTGCTTTATTTAATTGGTCTGTGTGTATATATTCTTTTTTTTGTTTGTTTTGAGACAGGGTCTAGCCTGGAACTCACAGAGATCTGTCAGCCTCTACCTCCCAAGTGCTGGGACTGAAGGTGTGCGCCACCATGCCTGGCCTGTGTGTATACACGTTGTTTCACACAATTACTTTCACATAGCAACTTTTTCTACCACCCTCTTGTATGAAATGTGCATGCAGTAGTCTAAAAACATCCTAATAGGAGTTAATACTTTACAGAGTGAGAATGAAATAACCACAGCTATGTATCTGAGTTAAAATTTCCAATAGTTGAACATAAAATGCATCATAAGAGTTTCAGCTTTTTTTATGCTCTCCTCTTTGCATTGAAGATTTTGGTGCCTCTAATTTTGCTTCAACAAGTGCTTCTGGAATTGACAAGACGTGGTCAAGAGCCTTTGCGTGACCTGCTGCAGTTTGGAGTGAGGTATCTGGAGGACTGTGCTGCCAACTACATCATTGAGCAAGGCGGCTGGGTAGGAGCTACTGTTAAAAACTTTTTCTTTACGATGATGAAGCCTATTTTCAAAAGGTGTGAATATTTTTGTGTGCTGGGGATCAAACCCGTGGTCTTGTGCATGCCAGGCAAGTATTCACTACTGAGCTACATCCCTCAGCCAAGCCTTGTGTGTGTGTTTTTAACAGTGTAGATTTGTATTAGTATTGAATGATAGTCAATGAAAAGGCTGTTCATACAGTTTACTAAGAGTTTACTTACAATAAATTAATATGTGGCACTTTTAAATAGTTGTTAGCCATGAAATATTTCATGCTAACCAAAAAATGCAAAAACAGCTAAGAAATGAAAAATAGTAAAATGGGCACTGTGTCTGTTGCCTCAGTCTAGGAGGAGATCATAATCAATGCTTTTGGGGTTGGGGGAGGTGCTAGGATTGAACTCAGATCACGTGTGCTGGGCAGGTGTGTTTCCCTTAGCTAGCCCCTCAGCCTGCACAGCTGCACTTCTGAGTCTCCTGTTTCCCTCCTGGATTCTGGATTTTGATATGTTCCTATTTGTTACCTTACAAGGCTAACTCCTTTTCTGAACTTATAAAATTGTAGTTTACATACATATGTATCCTTAGCATGTTATTTTGCCTTTTGAATTTTATGTATATTGTCATAGTTTATATATTCTATATAACTTGTTTGTTTCACTCAGTACTTACTGTTTTTGAGGTTTTCTTAGGTCATTGTTCTCAGCCATTTTTCATTATCATTCCAATAAGGATACTTGTTAGTCATCTTCCTCCAACTATGAAAAAAATAGTTTTTGAAGCACAATTGGAGTTTATTAAGGCCAGCTATGGTGGCTCATGCCTTTTATCCTAGCACTGGGGAAGCAAAGACATGCAGATCTCTGTAAGTTCAAGGCCAGCCTGGTCTACATAGTGAGTTCTAAGCTAGCCATGGTTACACGTCTCAAAAAAAAAAAAAAAATGGCGCTAACTGTGCAAATATATGGACCGGAGTTTGACCCACAAAACAAGTGTAATGAAATAAGGCATTGTGATGCACACTTGTAATCCTGGCAGGGGAGGTGAGACTGGAAAGTCCCTGGGTTCTCACTAATTAGCTAGCCTATCAACTCAGAGAGCCCCAGGTTCCAGTGACAGATCCTGTTTCAAAACGAAAGGTGGGGGCTAGAGAAATGGCTCATTGGTTAAGATCACTGGCTGCTCTTGCAGAGGACCCGGGTTCAATTTCCAACACCCACATAGTGGCTCATAGGTGTCCATAACTCCAGTTCCAGGGATACCTACCTGGCCTCCACAGGCATTGTATGATGTGGGTGTATTTACATGCATCTAGGCAAAACACTCATAACACATAAAATAAAAATAAGTTTGAAAAATAGTGTTCCCCAAACTCTTTACCCAGTTTCTTCTAGCATACCTTACATAACTGTGAACCTTTTGTCAAAAGTAAAAGATTAATATTTGTATATTAACTCCATACTTTATATTGATAATACCCTTTTTTCCTCCTTTAGGATGGATCTAAGATGCCATATTATGCTTAAACATGTAATAGTTTTTTAACTTCTTTTTTTTTTTTTTTTGAGGGAGAGTCTCCCTCTTGTTCAAGCTAGCCTGGAACTTACTTTGTAAACCAGACTAGAGTAGTCTCTACTAGTCTATCTCACCGAGATCCTCTTTGTCCTCCCCTCCCGCCTCAGTGCTGGGATTAAAGGTATGTGCCACTATGCCAGGCTATGTACTAATTTTTTAAAAAAAATTAAAATTTATTTATTTTAAAATATTTTATTTTATGTGTATGAGTGTATTGCCTGCATGTATGTGAGTGCACCGTGTAGTGCAATGCCGCAGGGGTCAGAAGAGGGTGTCAGATTCCCCTGGAACTGGAGTTAAGGACGGTTCGTAGCCGCCATGTGGGTGCTAGGAATCGAACCCGTGTCCTCTGCAAGAGCAGTCAGTGCTCTTAACCACTGAGCCATCTCCCCAGCCTCTTATTTTTTAAAAAGATTTATTTTATGTTTTGCCTGCATGTATATATGTGCAGTGGATGTGTGGGTGTTGAATCCCCTGGAATTGGAGTTACAAATAGCTGTGAGCTGTCATGTAGGTGCTGGGAATCAAACCCGGATCCTCTGCAAGAGCATCCAGTGCTCTTATAACCACTGAGCCATCTCTCCAGCCCCAACATGTACTAATTTTTCATTAATCATAAGTATAAAATAATAGCTCATTATAGGTTTGCATCTCTGTGAGCAGTAAGAGCTTTAGCCTTTTTTCACATTCATCAACCCTTTGTGGTTCTTCTGTTTGCCCACCTCTACTGAGTTGTTTTCCTTTTCTTTGTTGGTTTTTTTTTTTTTTTTTTAAACAAGGTCTTATTCTGTAGCCCAGGCTGTTCTGAAATTCACTATGCAGCCTTAGGCTTTATAATTTTGGTTTTTGCATCTGACATACTCGACTTTCCTTTTGCTCAGCCAGATGAGTAATAACGTCCTAAAAGTTTTGTGTCAAAAGCTCAGGAAGAAACTCCTTTTAATACTGTCAGTTAGAAAAAGAGAACCTAAAACAGGGCGTGGTGGCACATGCCTCTGATCCCAGTAATGGTAGGCGGAGCTCTGTGAGTTTAAGGCTAGCCTGGACTACATAGCAGGTTTCAGGTCAACCAGGCCTACATAGTAAGACCCTACCCTTAAAAAGTAAATAACTTTTTAAGCAAACAAGGCCAGGTATGGTGGCACACGTCTTTAATCCCAGCACTCAGGAGGCAGAGGCAGACAGATCTCTGTGAGTTTGAGGCCAGCCTGGTCTACGAAGTGCGTTCCAGGCCAGCTTGGGGCTACTGGGAGACCCTGTCTCAAAAAGACAAAAAAACAAAACAAAACAAAACAAAACAAGGAAGCAATTCCAACATTTTCTAAATTTGTTAAGCAAATGATTCTGAGGAAGGATACAGAACAGTCCACTTGAGCTAGGTAGAGTGACACATGCCTATGCTAAGACAGTAGAATTGCTGGAAGGTCAAGGCCAACCTAAGTTACATGGTGAGTACCAGGCTAGCCAGGACTACATAGCAAAACTCTGCCCCCAATACCCCCAAAAGAAAAAAAGTACTATAAAACTCAAAAATAATACTCTACTTTGGGACATTTTAGAAACAAGTACCAGCACAACAAAGCCTATCTTCAGAAGCTGAGTGTGTGTCGGATGCAACCTGTAGAAGTCACCAGATATTTAAAGCTGAGGACCAGTGCTTTTCCAGCAGGGCACAAGTTGATGCTTTCCTGCACTTGTTCCCTCGCGCATATATATATATATATATATATATATATATATATAGAGAGAGAGAGAGAGAGAGAGAGAGAGAGAGAGAGAGAGAGAGAGAGAGAGACTCACCCGAATCTATGTTCTGTCATGTCCTCTCCTTTTAACTCAAACAACTTTCCTTCAAATGCAAGTGTGGCATGGGGAGGTGTCTTTGGAAGGCTTTCTGATAAACTGTAAGCAAACTCTGCTTTCCCCCAACTTGATGATTGGTGTGGCAATGTACCATGCTTGGTGACCTCCCCTTTTCCTAGGTCAAAGGGGAATCTGTCCTTATAGTCCAGACTGAAGTCTACCTTTGTGCTATCTAATGACCAGCCAGTGTAAAAGACAGACTTAGTCTCTAATCGTGTGTGTTCTGTTAATCCGTAGCCTCTTGCTGGATGACCCTTGAGCACATCTTTGTCTTGTTTGGTGCTGATGCCTGATCTCTCGGTGGGCAGTGATCTCAGCTGTTCACATTTGACTGCCATCATTTTGACAGTCATGTTGTGGAAGTGAGGCGAGCACTAGCCAGGCACTGTCCGGGCACCTGTGTGTCTGCCTGCAGGGGAGGGCTATGCAGTTGGAAGGCCTGTGCTCATGTAGGTCTGCTGTCCTTGTGCTCACAGCCTGCTTAGAAAGGGTTTGTTAGGATTTTCTCGACAGTTAGTGATACTGTAATGAGAACACTTTTCATAAAACATGCACATTATTGCAATAAGAACCTGTTTTAAGCAATGAGCCATCTTCCAGCACAGTGCCTTGGTTTTATAGGCAAACAAATAACAGATCTAACAATGTAAAATACAGAGAGTCATTCAAATTTAGAGATAAAATACATTTTAAATACATTTATGTCCAAAGGCTTACATGCGACAATTTTTTAAGTGGATAGGTAATTAGCATGACTGTCAGTATGGGCTGTATTACATTTAAATGCTTTTGTAAGTGCTTATTTTGACATTGTTCTTTTTTTTTTTTTTTCTGTTCTTTTTGAGATAGGGTCTCCCTGTAGCCCTAGCTGTCCTAGAACTCACTAAGTAGACCAGGCTGGCCTTGAACTCACAGAGAACCACATGCCTCTGCCTCTGGAGTGCTGAGATTGAAGGCATGTGCCACCATGCCCAACCTTGCACTGTTTGTTTATTTTTATTTTCTATCAATGAGTGGATTGCCTGCAGGTATGTAAGTGTACCTTTGTCATGCAATGCCCACAGAGGACAGAAGTGGGCTTCAGATCCCCAGAACTGGAATTACAGATGGTTGTTAGCTGCCATTTGGGTGCTGGGATTCGAGCCCAAGTCCTCTGCAGAGAAGCCAGTGCTCTTAACTGCTGAACCATCTCTCTAGCCCCCCACACTGGTTTTTTTTTTTTTTTTGAGTCAGGGTCTTGTAGCCTCAGCTGTCCTGGAACTCACTATGTAGACCAGGCTGGCCTCAAACTCACAGAGATCCGCCTGCTTCTGCCTCCTTAGTGCTGGGATTAAAGGCATGCACTACCACGCCTGGTCCCCACACTGTTCTTAAAATTAAGAACTTCGATCCAGTTGTGGCACATATTAGTAGGATATGCTAAAGAGGTTGAGGATGGAGGATGGAACATGGAGGACAGCATGGTGGTGCCTTTAATCCTAGCACCTAAGGCCAGTAGGATCAGGAATTCAAGGACAGCCTAAGCTACATAGGAAATTTTA